GAGGAAGATAACTCAAGACGATTCTTGACAGTCTTTTAACATGGAGAGACATGGAGATCTTTTAACATGGAGAGACATGGAGATATTGTAGAGAGGCATGATCGCCCACGCCAGGCCGCAAGGCATTTGGTGAATATGATACAGGAGGAAATCAATTTTAACACTAATAAGGAGATATATAGTGGCATCATAATCAATAACAACAGTAGGTGCTTTTCCAATATCTCAAGATAGGATGACGTCACAGGACAGTCTAATATTTTTAACGGTGGTGAGAGCGGCTTTCCTGGTTTTCTGATGCTTTTAATTACCCCAGAAACTTCTAGACCTGGGCCTAACCCCAACCCACCTCTGTCCCACGAGAAAGTGCAGCCTAGATCCTACGATTGCATATCGCCTATCTACCACCCCCTAAAATCTGTTTGGGGTAAAATATTGGGATATAACCCAACAGCCACAACAAGAACAACAACAACAACAACAAAAACTGTATAAAACAGACCTGTAATGATCCCTTGTTGCAATGCTCCACCACCAATATCTTCCTATCATTCTCTAAACATGCTCCGAAGACTCGGTTCAGGTTGTTGTGGCTCAGGTCCCGGATCTGTGTGTGGGTAAAGTCAGTTAAATAAAGGACACGTTTCACACCAGTGGCGATAGGGTGGGTATATGATGCTTGACTCATATTTGTAAAGACCAAGCGTCACTCTTTGGGTCATGTCATCAACATCACACCTTTACTTGTCAAGAATCAACCTGGTGCCCAGTTTAAGAAGAGTCAAAATGAGGGCCAAGGTGATTACTCAAAAAGTCGACTCCTAGCGGGTTGCAACACCCATCTTCGGACTGGAGGCAATCGTCTAGCCTCTAATCCACCCGTATCTGAATAAGGATACCCGTTCCCTTCCCCCCCCCCCCCACCCTTCCCGTCTTCGCCAACCCCACCCTTTCTTCTCCAATAAAAAAGGGGGTGGGCTGCATGCAACACAGGTTATGACGACTTGGTGTGGACTGGCTGAGGGCCTCTGGTCCTTTCGGGGATAAAGAGCTTGATGATGATGATGATAATGATGATGATGATGATAATGATGATGATCATTGTGAAAACAATGTGTGCTAAGAACTGTCTAAAAGGTGCAATCACAATAACATACAGTATTAGTTCTTAGTAATAGCAAGTCGGTATCTGTGGTTGGGGCAGGGCAAATGCGCCCCGTAATGCCGGGTTGCCGGGTTCGATTTCAGCCACAGGCGATATATTGCCTTGCGTTAGTTGCAACAGAAGTATCAAGAGACGACCGTTCAGTTGGCAATAGCAAACCACTGAATGTAAAATTTGCGTAGAACAACAACTGTTTTAGCAACAGTACCGGAACCTTTGTCATACTGTGAGGCGTAATGGATATCTAGTTGTTGTGCGATATTTTAAAGAGACGGTCTCATCAGTGGACTATTTCCTTTGCTTGTAATGCCCCCCCCCCCCCCCCTTTTTTCTCTGTACTTCAGGTTGCTAACAGTCGGGGGCCCTAATATAACCTCACGGTTTAGCGGGTTTTCCCTGATTTGTACCTGGGAGCTCTCATCCGAGTAATGACACAATGCGTCACCGATGGTAATGGCTCAGTGTGCCGCCCTAATGGGGTAGAAACTCACTCATGACACGAAAAGCTAATTGGTCGCCTTGGCTCGACAACAGTGGTTCCAAATCAAACTATAGTCCATTCAGGAAGTCCCGCCGAACTTAAAATATCTTAAAACAATAACCGTTCAGTGTAAGTTGATGAAATTTGGCGTGCAGTTTGTTAATAATTTTTTCTTGTAAGAAACAATTATGTTGTGTAAAGAAATATCTAGTTTTAATTTTGCACAATTTGCGGTAAATGAAAAAAAAAAAAAAAAAAAAAAAAAAAAAAACATCGTTTTAAATCAAAGAATCATAATATTTACATTAACTATAGCAAATTTACTGAGGGGAGCTTTTCACAACAACAAACTGCACGCATGTCATATGTGTTTCACTCTTAGGCTGCCATCTCCACCATAAGTCTCCCGTCAGAAGTGGATTTTTCATTGAGTGCAGAATAAGCTATTAAAATAATCGCTGCACATGTAAACTGATTTCCAAACAATCTCCACATATCTGTCAATTACTGCATATTCTTTTTTTTCCAGGGCTGCACAAACTATTAGTCAAGCACAGATCAAAAAAATTCACCGCTTTAAGAAAACAGCAGCATCTAGGCAATGTAAGTTATAGAATAATAAGGACATGGAAAATTTAAGGCTACACGGTACAGTAGTTTCTCAGATAATAATTAAAATGTGGCGGCATGAGTTTTGAAACTGACTCTAGTCAAAACCTGCTCATCCTTTTGATTCTGAAAGTAGCTTCAAACCTCATACGTCTTACATGCCATGCTAAAGAAATAATAATGTCAGTATAATAATATAAGAATCGCAAAACAAAAATAGCATGCTAAAGCTGAACATGTGTGTG